CAGGCAGGGAGGTGAGCTGCAGCTGCTTCCGATGTGATAATGGTGCCCCCTCCCCCGGCCCGCCCTCTCTGACCAAGGTCTTTCATAACCCTGTGGGGAGCTGCTGTCACTCCTGTGGTTTGGGAAGTGGCTCCCTGGGCCTCTTGCTGGAAACTTGGGCTGGGCTCAGACAGGGCAGGAAAGTCACCGGTTCTGTCCCGCCTCAGAAGGAGCCTCAGTCCCGGGCAGCTGCTGGATCTGGAAGAGGTTATTTAGGACATGCAGATTGTCTCCTAGGGGGCTGGGGGGAGAGGGTGGGTGAGCTGGCACTTTCTTCCACCTTGCTCTGTGGCGGGCCAAGTCTTCTGCTGACCCTGAGAGGAGTCTCTGGGCCCCATCTCCCAGGGAGGAGGGCAGCAAGCAGGCTGCTGTGATTGGCTGGCAGGGAAGCCAGGGTACTGGGGCCCCCGACTGCTGTGAGTCGAGGAACAGGATTCCTCTTCCTGCCAAGTAGCTCAGAGATGGGAGTAGGAGGCCAGAGTTGGGAATCCAGGAGACTCCACAGCTCTTTGTGATGAATCTGGTAGTTTTTGGCAAGTCTGAAGGTGGAGCTAGTTTCCAGGGCCAGAGAGCAAGATGTTTTTGGAGGGGTTGGGGCTGGAAGGTAGAAGGGGAACTTCCTTTTTGTGAAAAGATGGAGGTGGTGTGTGTGCCTACATATGAGGGTTTTTCAGTGCAGGCAAAAAGTACTCTTCCCTTTGTCTGAGCTGGGTGTGGAGTGCCCAGAAGACTTCCTAGAAGGTCAAGGTTGGAAGGGACCTCTGAGACCTCCAATTGGTCCATATCCGTGTGCAGCAGAGGAGGCTGAGGCCCAAGGAGGGAGGGAAAGCTCCCTGCCTCAGCATCGCACTGAGCAGATGAGTGTAGAACCTGGGTCTTCTAGCTAGACCAGGTTGCCTTAAAAGTCAGGGATGTGATGGCTGCTGCCACCCACTGAAGCTAAGCACTTGCAGGGGTGTGTTCTCCACCAATTAACACTGGGATTCTCTGGTTGCCTGGATATGGGGAAGGGTGGCCACCTTCCCTCAAACATGACCCCTTGCCTCCCCATAGGGAGAGTCCCACCCCCAGTTGCCTTCCAGATGCTTCCTTAGAAGCTGGGTCCCTTCTGTTTACTGCTGAGTTAGGAGTTGGCTCCTGGGACAGTCACTGGGAGTAGCGTTGTAATTTCTCTGCCTCACTTCTGGCCAGGCTGTTTTCTCTGGGGCTCTTTGAGGGTAGGGACTGATTTGAGAGGCTGACACCTAAGCTGGGGCCAAGACAGAGACAGCTGTGGCTGGGGCCTGGAAGAGGTTGGGTGGGGTTGCCATTTCTGCCTCAATAAGGAGTCAAACCCACAAGTTCCTTCCTGAGATAAAACAATGAAGAAATCCTCATGTGTGCAACTCAGAAATGGGGCCAGGTCTGGGAACCCATGATGAGTGGATTGGGGTGAGGCTTCCAGGCTTCTCCCAAAACCTAGTACTGGCAGGTAGGCTTGGGTAGGTGAGGATAGGACTTGATCCCTCAGGAATCATTTGGGGCCATCCTGTCTAGCTTGGCCTCCGCCTATCCTCCTGAAAGTCAAGTGGCATGGGGCATTATGGGTTCCAGCTAAAGGGGGTGGGGTGGGGTGCTATACCTCAGGACCTGTCCCTGATATCCTACCAAGGGGATGTGGCTTGGGTTGGGCAATCTCCCCTTTGAGGAACCTCAGAAAAGGCTCAGTGGCTGTCATTGGAGGAGTCACACTCCCTCCTGTTGATTCAAGAGGTGTGGACTTGGCTGGGATGCAGAGTTGCAGGGGAAGCTAGTGGTGATCTGCCCTTTCACAAATCCTTGGGGTTGGGAGAGTCTCTGCTTCATCCCAGAGGAGTCCCCAGTTCATAGTGATGCTGTGGTATCTGCTGCTTCCGTCTTTCAGCCCTGGCTGGAGAAATCCTCAGAGCCCTGAATGAAGTCAGGAGAAGGCCTGAATTATTGGCCCCTTAAACATAACCAGACAGGATTAAAAGGGATAATCCATGTAAAGTATGTTGTCTTGGCACCTAGTAAATGATCAGTAAGTGCTCAAAGCACATGCCCCTCCTCTCCCCTGCCTTGAACTCCATGGTGCCTGGCCCTAAAATCAGAAACTGAGGTCTTGGGCTTTAAAAGTTTGATGGGCTTCCCTGCCTATGAGACTTTGAGACTTCTGCTTTACTCCTTCCTTTTCCCTTCTCCAGCCACTGACCCCACCCTTTTCCCCCTTTTCCAGGACTGGGAGGTGCTGGTCCTAGGGAAGCTCAAGTGGGACCTGGCTGCTGTGATTGCACATGATTTCCTGGCCCTCATTCTGCACCGGCTTTCTCTGCCCCGTGACCGACAGGCCTTGGTCAAAAAGCACGCCCAGACCTTTTTGGCCCTCTGTGCTACAGGTAAGAGCCCTGTGCACATTTTTGCCAAATTGGAAAAATCATTAGACTTATAAGGGTGAGAGGTAACTAGGAGATTCTGGTTTATACTGTCAAAATTAATTTGTGAAAATTACATCCCCTCTGAGCCCCCAGTCTCGATACAGAAAAGCAGGTCATAATCAGCTCTATGGGATCTCAGACCCCTCCAGTTTGTAGGAGGGACACCGAGGGTATAGAGAGAAGTGACTCGCCCAAGGTCCCACAGTGAACATGTTGGGAACGGAACCCCTGTCTCTTGGCCCTAGTTGTGTTCCCACACTAGGGAGTGTCTTGTCTATTCCCTGGACCTATGGAAACTGGCAGTTGGTCCTGATCTCTAGGAAAGATACTCTTTCCTGTCTTCCTCCCTTGCCGATATCTTGCCCCACCCACTGCTGGAGTTGTCTAGCATGTCCTCTGCTCTACTTATGCTGCCTGGCACTTTCCGAGGAGTCGGAAGTCCATGCTGGCTGTTACCCTTCAGGTTTCCTCATCTCATGGTTCCCTTTCCTCCTCTCCAAGATTATACCTTTGCCATGTACCCGCCATCCATGATCGCCACGGGCAGCATTGGGGCTGCAGTGCAAGGCCTGGGTGCCTGCTCCATGTCCGGGGATGAGCTCACAGAGCTGCTGGCAGGGATCACTGGCACTGAAGTGGTGAGTGCTGGGCAGCTGGGCAGCAGCCTCTCCATTCATATAGTGCTATGCCCTGAGCCTCCAGTAGAGGGAAACCTCCAACCCCAACCTGGTCCTGAGTCCTGGTTTCACAACCTTGGGGCTTTGTGGCTTTTTATCTCCTGCCTTGGTCTGGAGAAGAGCAAGTATCTTGGGTGGGGTGAAGGGCACTGGCCCTAGGGGCTCTTTTCTTGCCAAGTGGTGTGCTGGAGTGGGGGTGGGGGATTTGGTGTCAGATGCAGGGCTGCTCTCACACTCCTTTGCCACATCCTCTTGCTAGTTTCTGAGAACTGAAGAGCGATTCCTGGGGCTGGGCTGTGGCCTAACCTCCCCAGACTTCCCCATGTGTTGGGAGCTGTCCTTCCCCTGCACCTGCTGCCAGATGCTATGGGGGGGAGTGTTCAGTCCTCACTGTTCTCCCATGTTCCCAGGACTGCCTGCGGGCCTGTCAGGAGCAGATCGAAGCTGCACTCAGGGAGAGCCTCAGGGAAGCCGCCCAGACCAGCTCCAGCCCAGCGCCCAAAGCCCCCCGGGGCTCCAGCAGCCAAGGGCCCAGCCAGACCAGCACTCCTACAGATGTCACAGCCATACACCTGTAGCCCTGGAGAGGCCCTCTGGAGTGGCCACTAAGCAGAGGAGGGGCCGCTGCCACCCACCTCCCTGCCTCCAGGAACAAACCACACCACATCTGAAGCCTGAAGGGGCGTCTGTTCCCCCTTCACAAAGCCCAAGGGGTCTGGTCCTACCCATCCCCGCAGTGTGCACTAAGGGGCCTGGCCAGCCACGTCTGCATTTCGGTGGGTAGTCAAGCTCCTCCTCCCTGCATCTGACCAGCAGCGCCTTTCCCAACTCTAGCTGGGGGTGGGGCAGGCTGATGGGACAGAATTGGATACATAACGCCAGCATTCCTTTTGAGCGCCCCCCACCCCTGGGGGCTGTTTTCAACTGCCAAAATGCTCTAGTGCCTTCTAAAGGTGTTGCCCCTTCTAGGGTTATTGCATTTGGATTGGGGTCCCTCTGAAATTTCATACATGATAGACACATATGAGGGGGAATAGTCTAGATGACTCCTCAGTACTTTGGAGGCCCCTATATAATCCATGCTGACAGCTGCTCCTAGAGGGAGGGGCCTAGGCCTCAGCCAGAGAAGCTATAAATTCCTCTTTGCTTTGTTTTCTGCTCAGCTTCTGTGTGATTGACAGCTTTGCTGCTGAAGGCTCATTTTAATTTATTAATTGCTTTGAGCACAACTGTAAGAGGACATAACGGGGTCCTGGCCATCCCACAAGTGGTGGTAACCCTGGTGGTTGCTGTTTTCCTCCCTTCTGCTACTGGCAAAAGGATCATTGTGGCCGAGGAGCTGCTACAGCCTGGGGTGGGGTCATGCCCTCCTCTCCTGTTGTCCCTCTGCCCCATCCTCCAGCAGAGAAAATGCAACAGGGATGCCCTGGAGGTGGCTGAGCCCCTGTCTAGAGAGGGAGGAAGCCCTGTTGACACAGGTCTTTCCTAAGGCCACAAGGTTTAGGCTGGTGGCCCAGGACCATCATCCTACTGTAATAAAGATTGTGAAATAAAACTGGCTTTGGCTTCTTGGATTGGTGTGTGGGTTAAGTCTATTTCTGGACTGTATGAGGTAAGGAGGCGGAAGCCAGTGGTCTAAAGCAGGGATCATTGAGCCTTTTCTGTAAAGGGCTGGATAGTTAGGCTTTGCGGGCTATATGGTCTCTGACCCAAATATAATCAGTTCTGCTTTATAATGTGACCTATGTGTTCCTGAAAATCACTATGCCATGCAATTTGCACAATAAAAACCACAGGTCTCATGGGAAAAATGGGGCTTGAAGCACAACACTCAAATGAGTGACACATGTTAAAAAAAGGATAGCTTGGTTTTTACATGTCAAATGGTTGAGAAATACATAAATATTACAATAAATACGGCCTTTTATCTTGAAGACATGCACTTTGCTTTTGGAAGTGGATGTTGGAAGGGTTGCTCAACACAGGTGGGCAGCTAAGTGAGGTAGCTGGTACATGTTCAAGTGAGTTTTGTGTACTAGTTAGGCTTGGTTCAGCTGGGTACAGTTTCCCATATTCACCTAATGTTTCTCGAGGATGAAATCATACACAAGCAAACATTAAGCCTGCGTTATGATCAAACTGTTCCCAAATATATTAAATGGGTTGGAACAAATGCACAATTTTGGAAGCAAATAAGGGTTATAGCAGGATTATACTTAACTCTGCTGTTGTAGCACAAAAGCAGCCACATGAAACATGTAAATGGGTGAGCATGGCTGTTCCAACAAAATTATGGATGCTGAAACTGGAATTTCATGTAATTTCTACCTATCACAAAATACTGTTAATTTTTTTCCCCATTTAAAAATGGAAAAATCATTCTTAGCTCATGGGCCACACAAAAACAGGCACTTGGGCTGGGTGTGGTGGCTCACGCCTGTCATCCCAGCACTTTGGGAGGCTGAGGCGGGTGGATCACCTGAGGTCAGGAGTTCGAGACCAGCCTGGCCAACCTGGTGAAACCCCATCTCTACTAAAAATTTAAAAATTAGCCAGGCGTGGTGGCACGCACCCGTAGTCTCAGCTACTCAGGAGGCTGAGGCAAGAGAATCTATCGAACCCAGGAGGCGGAGGCTGCAGTGAGCCAAGATCATGCCACTGTACTCCAGCCTGGGCAACAGAGCGAGATTCTGTCTCAAAAAATAAATCAACAAAAAAAGGGGCACTTGGCCGTAGTTTACTAGTCACTAAAGCTTTCATTGGCTGAAAAGCCAGAAAGGGAGCCTGTTTGATGCTAGCTCTGATCTAACTCTTCTTGGGCCCAGCCTTATTCTCTGGCCTTTCTTGACTGTATCTCTGCTTTCCTCAAGTTTTCTCTTGTAGTCCTTTCATCCACAGCTGACACATGACCATCTTTGGACAACCTGCTCCTGGCTGCTGCAGCCTGTCATGGGAGAAGGCAGAGGATGTGTCCCCAGGTGGCTAACAAGGTGAGTGTAGCCTGGAGAAACAAGCTTGGAGATCAAGGGAGGTGGCTCCTATATAAACGGGACAAGAATGTCCTCCATCTTCCAGATACTAACAGGAGTAATGCCCACCTCCATTTACTACACCAAACACAGAGGTTCAATAAATACCTGCCTTTGCCTTTATCCACAGTGACCTGACACAATAGCCATAGAAAAAGTACTCACACCAAGCCCCAGCTGGGGACTGGGAATGCCAGTGTATGGTATTAAGTCGGCTCTCAGAACTGAACAGGGGTAAGGGCCTAGAATGGAAGAGGGAACCAGCCAGACCCTCAGTCCTTCCTGTCCTGGACTGGAAGCCACAGATGTTCCTGTGATCTGTCACTGCCCTGATCTGGGTCTTTAGCCATTAAGGTTTGGTGTCATCTTCAGTCACCAACGGGGGTCTTGGTGTCCTTCCAAACCCCTTTGGCCAGGACAACTGACTGTTTTCTCACTCCATGGTGATGGGAACATCTTCCACATCTCGGGGGACTGCGCTCTGAAGCTCACGCCTGATTTCGGGGGATAGCTGTGGATGGGGCTGCAGCCGGAGCAGTTCTAAGAGGGCCTCTTTCTGGTCTGTGGCCAAGTCGGCCTTGTAGCGCTGGACCAAAGTCAGGAGGCACTGGTGCCAGAGCACAGGCAGTTCACGCTTCTCTGTCCGGAACCCCAGGAAGTGGAAGACTAGGGCATCCAGCACCCGGTAAGGCAGTGCATACTTCTTATCCAGCAGCAGTCGCAGGAAGATGCTGTTGGCACCACTGTATTCCATCTCAGCAATTTTCAGCATGGCCGCGCTAGTGGGAAAGGGAGGTGGGGTAGAGTTAGCGGGGAAAACATTGGAAGAAGGATCCTACTTCTCCCTCTGTGCTTTCCCCCTTTTTTCTTCCCCTCTGCTGGCCCTTACACTATGGTATTCCCCAGGGACCTTCTCACCTACCCAATCGTATTATACTCGCTTGACTTGAGTCACCATCTCTACAGGGATCCACCCAAATCTCTACCTCCAGCATAGACTGCTTGTTTCAGTACCCAACTAGAGTATGGTCCAAACATCTCAACGTCTCCACCCTAACTACTTTCTTCCTGTGTTTCCTACTCATTTGTTCATCTATTTACTGAGTACTTTCTTTATACCAGGCACTCGGGCCCTGTTGTTGCAGAACTTACATTTAGGGGGATAATGATACACCTACTCATTGGCTTAAATAAGCACAAACCCAAGACTATCCTTAGCTTCTTCTCCACTCTACCCATCCCCAAGTCCTGGCAATTCCACTATCTGGATATCCACTGACCAGCCCCCACCCCGCCGCTCCACTCCCAGCAACGCTACCTGGAGTGCAACACAGGGATGGAGCACTTGGTGATGATGCTACCCACAATGATGGCTTCCCGGAGGGTGCAAGTGCCAGACTCGCACAGTGGAATCAGGACCCCTGGGGAGAGTCAAAGGGCAGTCACTATGAGCCCAGGATGAGAAAAAGGAGTTACAGTAGGAAGCATTCCCACCCAGCCCAGGGACAGCTAGCAATTTCCCACACCAGGCCTGCTGTGTTCCCCATAGAAGCTCCAGCCCTTCACTTTCTTCCCTGCCTCTGGGATCCCACCTTTGAACCAGGCTCCAGGTTTGAAAAGGGCCTTCTTGAGAGCCATATAGAGATGGAAGTTGAGTCGTTTGTATTCAGCAATGTCATCTCGTACTCGCGGGAGCAGGACAAGGTTGTAGAAGCGCTGGGCCATGCGTTCCTTCAGGTTAGAGGCAAAAATCCTAGTGGGAGTTAAGTCGGGGAAGTTTCCAAGTCACACGACAGTCTGGACCCGGCCCATTAAATATCACCATGGATAATGCATACAAGAGGTTTTAAAGTAAAATATGGGACCTTTCTTTCAGTGAGGGATGTGTGGGAGCTGTGTGCATGCAACACCCATCAGCTTAGAGAGAGAATAGGAGGGGCAATGAGATATATCCAAATGAGGAGTGCCGTCTGTCTGTGGGAGTGCCGTCTGTCTTGTGCAAACTGATGGCTACTCAGCTACTCTCCTTCCTCTTGCTATCATGGCTTCTCTCAATTTTGCTATCACTAGGGCCCTGAGCATGTCTGGACAGTCACAGACTTCTGAGGGTCCTGCTACAGGGTTGTATCCAGTGGCTATAAAAGCCTCTCCCCTAGAAATTGATCATGGAGGGCTGTATCCCAGTGGCTATAAAAGCCTCTTCCCCTAGAAATTCATCACAGAGGGTTCCTAACTGGCTAACTGGGTCTTGGCCCCAAAAAATGACACAGGAAAAGCTAGAAAAATGATGCTATAAAGTAGCAGAGAGGGCCCTGGGGCCAGAGGCAAGGAAAGCCTGTCCGTCCCAAGCCCAGCCTGCACCTATAGACCCAAGGCCTGCAAATCCCCATCTACTCTACCTGGTGGCTTGGTACATGGCGGCTGCAGTCCAGGCCTCAGGCTCTGTGACGTAGAGGATTTGTTCCCAGTTGGAGAGTGCAGGGATGATCTTAAATGCCTTAGGCAGTTTTCCACTGCGGTACTTAGATAATACCTAGGGATGAGGGAGGTAAAACAATCATTGTCATCCACATATGGCAAGCTTGCTGTGGGCTAGGAACTTGTCTGGGTGCTTTTAATATATTAACTCATTTCATCCCCACAATAACCCTTTAAGGAGGTGCCATTATTATGCTCGTTTTACAGATGACCAGTGAGAGTTCCAGTAACTGACCCAAGGTTGCCAAGTCATTTACAGGCAGAGCAGGAATCTGAAACCACACACTCTGCCTCTTAGGTCTGTTTTCTACTGCCATGACTTCTTTAGTATGAGATGCAGGCAAAAGGCAAAAGCCTGTGGCGGGAGCCCACAGCCCCCAAAGGGGTCTTCCACTGTGGCTCCCCTCTCAGCTCTTACCTCCCGGACCCCCCTGTAGACTTCTAGGACCCGGGGGTCCAGCTGGGGCATAGGGAAGCCCGACACCTCTGACATGACTGTCTCAACCTCTGTCTGCTTCTCAGTCAGCTTCTCCATGATGATGTCAGCCAAGGTGCGCCTAAGAGGGGAAGTGCCAAGGGGAGGGGAGAGAGGAAGGAAGGAGCACTGTGGTCACTGTCCAGGAAGCTCCAGATTCCCCACAGTCCCTTGTGAGCACTGACATACTGCGATCCTGCTGGGATGCGCAGCTCAGAGTTCCCTCTCTGTGCCCATTCATCCACCACAGACAGAATCACTGCAGGGTGCAAAGGAACTGAAAGTCATTCCATTTAGGACAAAGCTGGCAGTTGTATGGAGGTTATTATGAATCTCAATTCTGAAATCGGTCTGCCCAGGTTCAAATCCTGGCTTACCCACTCCCTGTATGATCTTGGGCATGTTACTTTACCTCTCTATGCCTCTGTTTCCTCATTTGTAAAATAGGGATAATAACGGTACCCACCTTAAAAGATTAATGGAAGGATTAAATAAGTTAATGTCTGTTCATTACTTGGAACGGTCAGTACACAGCAGTGTATCTATGGAAGTATTTCTAAAACTGATTATGTTCTTTTCAGCCTCCTTAAACAGAGTATTGTTGGGTATATCAAACATTATCTTAATGATTCAGCATTACTATCACCTTGAGCTGTCATATAATACCAGTGCCTTCAGAGGCTGCTGAAGTGTATTTATTTATTTTTTTTTGAGACAGAGTCTAGCTCTGTTGCCCAGGTTGGCATGCAGTGGTACCATCACGGCTCACTGCAGCCTCTATCTCTCTGGCTCAAGCGATCTTCCTGCCTCAGTCTCTCAAGTAGCTGGGACCACAGGCACATAGCACAAGGCCCAGCTAGTATTTTATTCTTTTTTTTTTTTTTTTTGAGACGGAGTCTCACTGTGTCGCCCAGGCTGGAGTGCAGTGGCCGGATCTCAGCTCACTGCAAGCTCTGCCTCCCAGGTTTTTACGCCATTCTCCTGCCTCAGCCTCCAGAGTAGCCGGGACTACAGGCGCCCGCCACCTCGCCCGGCTAGTTTTTTTTTTTTAATTTTTTAGTAGAGACGGGGTTTCACCGGGTTAGCCAGGATGGTCTCGAACTCCTGACCTCGTGATCCGCCCGTCTCGGCCTCCCAAAGTGCTGGGATTACAGGCTTGAGCCACCGCGCCCGGCCGTATTTTATTCTTTTGTAGAGATGGGGTCTCCCCATGTTGCCCAGGCTGGTCTCACACTCCTGGGCTCCTGCCTTGGGATCCCAAAGTGCTGAGATTACAGGTCTGGGCCACCATGCCCAGAATGACATGTATTTAAAGCTCCTCAGTTGGGTGCAGTGGCTCGTGTTTATAATCTCTGTACTTTGTGAGGCTGAGGGAGGTGAATCACGTGAGGTCAGGAGTTTGAGACCAGCCTGGCCAACATGGTGAAACCCCGTCTCTACTAATAAAACAAAAAGTAGCCAGGCATGGTGGTGTGCGCCTGTAATCCCAGCTACTCAAGAGGTTGAGGTTGCAGTGAGCTGAGATCACACCACTGCCCTCCAGTGTGGGTTACAGAGTGAGACCCTGTCACAAAACAAAACAAAAAACAAACTGCTCCTCTTTTCTGAGGTCCTACTCAACGCCAGGCACTGAGTCTGGGACTTTTCAGTCCCAGAGTCAGTGCAACACTTATAGGACATGGAAACTTACGCAGACATGGCAACTGGGCCTCACAGCCGTCAGGTGGGGTTAAGAGTCAAACTCAGGTTTTTGAAAGTCTTAAGTTAAGATGCTTTATAGTACCTTATAATGTGCCCCCAAACTAAATGGCCTCTGATTGTTGAATTCATGTGGATCTAGGCTTGCTTTCTGAAGACGCCAGCTATCATTTCTTACAACTGCCAGAAGTTCTGATTACTTCAAGGAGCTTGTCTATTCTATTTACTGCAAGCTGGAAAAGCATTCTGCTAAATTTGTCAGCATTATCAGTGAAGTAGGAGTTATGAGGTGCTGAATGAGAACCTGAGAGGCTCTCTGGTGGGACAGGCCCGAGTACGTATTTTGTGACACGTATTTCAACTGTTAGGCATCAATCTGGGAGAGGAGCTCATTTTTATTTCTTCATTCTGCATTTTCAAATAAGTTGCCACAGAATTTATCAGCCTCCTTGTCCTTTTACAGTACAATTAGCAATGAGAGATGCATTAACCCCAAACAGTCTAAAGTATCAGGGACACCATTATGTTAGTATCACAGGGTCAGAATGAACTGGTTGAGGACCCTTATCCTAGACTCCACTCCCCACGGCCAAAATTTATGGGCTCAGGAGTTTGACCACAGGCAGTCTAAATGCCTGCATGTTTTGGAGCCAGCATTTATTATAGATGGGAATAAATTAGTGGTCCTAACTGGGAGCAGTCTTGCCTCCCAGAGGACATTTAGCAACGTTTGATGTCATTTTTGGTTTTCATAATTAGAGGGAAGGTTGCTACTGGAGCCTAGAAGGTAGAGATCAGAGATATCTACTAAACATCCTACACTGCACAGGATAGCCTCCACACACATATAAAATTACCCAGCCCAAAATGTCAATAATGCTGAGGTTGAAAAACCCTGGCTTAAATGAAGCTTAGGATATGAACACTTGTCCAAGGAAGTTGAGCTTACCACTAAAAAAACCAAGAATACCAAAACCAGATGCAATAGGATGGCTCTCCCCAGAGGTATAAAACGGGCCTGGAGCTGTTTCCCTGGCAACTGGGCAGTTGTACAATAAATGGACAGAAGGATACAATGTTTTCTGAGGCTGGGTCATTCCCACTCACAGTGGTCTGCTGAGGATGGGCCAGTTTTGTCAAGGTGGTCCCCTACAACTAGCAACTCCAGGGCCCTTTCCTAAAGTAGGGAATCGTAAGTCTGCCAGGGAACTTGTTTTCCTGTGGGAACTTTCTACAAGCACCCATTATCCCAAATCCCCAGACCTACCTGGCAGGAGGGTTCTTGTTCATGAACATCTCTATGGCACGCTCATCCTCAGGGTCCACGACCACCTCTGCATGGTGGCCCACCCCTGTCATTGTGGCAGCCTTCTCCAGGGTGGGCCACTCCTCATCCTCGTCATCTGATCCATCCTGAGGCATTCTTGGACCTAGAAGAGAGGAGACTAAATGGATGAGCACAGCAAAAGGTAGCTGAGGGATTTAGTCAGTTTAACTTTAGTCATTATGTAGTACAGGCCTCACATGTGGTTGTGATAGACACAGGTATGTGCAGTGAAACAAATGAGGCATGCATTAGCTCCCTGTCCCCAGGGGCTTGCAATCATGCTTGAGAAACAAAACGTATACACAGGAGACAATGAGAAAGAAATGGCCATAAGTAATAGTTAACATACCATACTCAGTTATGTAGAAGGAACTTCTTTTTTTTTTTTTTGAGATAGAGTCTCACTCTGTCGCCCAGGCTGGAGTGCAGTGGCGCAATCTCGGCTCACTGCAAGCTCCGCCTCCTGGGTTCATGCCATTCTCCTGCCTGAGCCTCCCAAGTAGCTGGGACTACAGGCACCCGCCACCACACCCAGTTAATTTTTTGTATTTTTAGTAGAGTCGGGGTTTCGCCACATTGGCCAGGCTGGTCTTGATCTCCTGACCCCTAGTGACCCGCTCACCTCGGCCTCCCAAAGTGCTGGGATTACAGGCGTGAGCCACCGCGCCGTGCCTGTAGAAGGAACTTCTAAACACTGTACCCATGTTAACTGTTTAATCCTTACAAACCCAAGAAGTGGCAGGGCGTGGTGGCTCACGTCTGTAATCCCAGCACTTTGGGAGGCTGAGGTGGGCGGATCATGAGGTCAAGAGATTGAGACCATCCTGGTCAACATGGTGAAACCCTGTCTGTACTAAAAATACAAAAATTAGCTGGGTGTGGTGGTGCGTGCCTGTAGTCCCAGCTACTTGGGAGGTTGAGGCAGGAGAACTGCTTGAACCCAAGAGGTGGAGGTTGCAGTGAGCCAAGGTCACGCCACTGCACTCCAGCCTGGCGACAGTGAGATGCTGGCAAAAAAAAAAATACATAAAATTAAAAAAAAATAAATAAACCTTCTTACGGAACATTGGCAAAAACTTAAAAAATAAATAAATAAATAAATAAATAAATAAAAATAAACCCAAGAAGCGGATACTATTATTATTATTATTATTTTTTTTTGAGACGGAGTCTGCTGTCGCCCAGGCTGGAGTGCAGTGGCCGGATCTCAGCTCACTGCAAGCTCCACCTCCCGGGTTTACGCCATTCTCCTGCCTCAGCCTCCCGAGTAGCTGGGACTACAGGCGCCCGCCACCTCGCCCGGCTAGTTTTTTGTATTTTTTTTTAGTAGAGACGGGGTTTCACCGTGTTAGCCAGGATGGTCTCGATCTCCTGACCTCGTGATCCGCCCGTCTCGGCCTCCCAAAGTGCTGGGATTACAGGCTTGAGCCACCGCGCCCGGCCGCGGATACTATTATTATACCCAGTTTCAGATGAGGACACTGAAGCACCAAAAAGTTGATAATTTGCCCAAGACAGGTAGTCTGGATCTAGACTGCATTCTTCACCACTATTCTACACATATTAGGGTTTGATTATATGCCACAATGAGTGGTAGAGACGACATATGCACTTAGAGGATGAGTGGCGAGGACAGTTAGACGCTGGATGGGCAGTTTGGGAGCAGGCGGAGTGTGTTCCAGACGCAGAGAAAATAAGGCTTCGGATTTAAGTGTCTCCTAGGCAATAGCAATAAATAATGCTAGGTAGGTGGGAAAGGTGAAGCCAGACTGGAGGGCCTTTAAAGTCAGGCAGTGGAGTTCAGATTTCAATCCACCAGTCTATTTAAATAAATGAAGTTGGCTGGGCATGGTGGTTCATGCCTGTAATCCCAGCACTTTGGAAGACCGAAGTGGGTGGATCATCTGAGATCGGGAGTTCGAGACCAGCCTGACCAACAAGGAGAAGCCCTGTCTCTACTAAAAATACAAAAAATTAGCTGGGCGTGGTGGCGTGCGCCTGTAATCCCAGCTACTTGGGAGGGAGGCCGAGGCAGGAGAATCGCTTGAACCAGGGAGTTGGAGGTTGCAGTGAGCCGAGATCGCGCCACTGCACTCCAGCCTGGCCAAAGAGCAAGACTCCATCTCAAAAAAAAAAAAAAAAAAGGGCCGGGTGTGGTGGCTCACGCCTGTAATCCCAGCACTTTGGGAGGCTGAGTCGAGTGGATCATGAGGTCAGGAGATCGAGACCATCCTGGCTAACACAGTGAAACCCAGTCTCTACTGAAAATATAAAAAATTAGCTGGGCATGGTGGCAGGCGCCTGTAGTCCCAGCTACTCGGGAGGCTAAGGCAGGAGAACGGCGTGAATCCGGGAGGCGGAGCTTGCAGTGAGCCAAGACTGCGCCACTGCACTCCAGCCTGGGCGACAGAGCAAGACTCCGTCTCAAATAAATAAATAAATAAATAAATAAAATAAATGAAGTAGTCCATTTAAATAACTTCCATTTTTGGAAGGCTACATGTCTGGGCATCTGGAAAGGGGGGCTAATAATCCAAGTGGGGAACTATAATGTTATGTATCAATAGGTCATTAACAACAAAGGCAGTGGCAGTATGTGATAAACGCTAAGGGGGAACAGACATTTTGTCTCCACGTGCCAACAATCTCCCAAATGTGTACTTTGTAGGTGGTTCTCCTTAGCGCCAGACCCTAACTCCAGGTGTCTCCTGTACAGCCGCTCTTGGATGACTCACAGTCACCTCAAATCTCACCTGTCATCAACTATATTAATTTTCTTTCCCTCCTAGGTCTATAATGCTAACCATCCACAGCTCAGTAAATGGTACCACTGTCCACCCAGTGCTAAGCCTGGGAGGCGCTCCTGCCTCATCCCTTGCCCTCACCCTCAACACCCAATCAATTACTAAATCCTATTCAATTTTACCTCATAGACTGTCTCTCACATGCTTCACAGCCCCATCTAAGCCTAGATCAGCATCATTTCTTGCCTGGATTTATTCAACAGTCACCCACTCATCTCCATGTTTCTGACCTTGCTTCCCTCCAACTCATTTTCCACTCTGCAGACGGTAATCTTCCAGAAACACATATTTGATTTGATTAGCCCTATACTTAAAATTCTCCAGTAGCTTTCCATTCTTCCTATTGCTGTAAGGATGGTTTTTAAATCTTTTGCAAGTTTGCTCCTACCTACCTGACCATCATTCATTACCCATTAACCCAGTCATTCAGCAAACACTGAGCACCTACACTATATGTGAGGCACTGTTGGGGGTGCTGGCAATATATCCATGAACAAGAGAAATCAAAAGACTTTGTTCTATACAGCTTACATTCTAATTGGATGAGACAGTCTATGACCATACCACTCTGAACGCACCAGATCCTGTCTAATTGGAAAAGACAGACATAAATAAACATACAAATATACTGGGTTAAAATATAAGTACTATGGGCCAGGTGTGGTGGCTCATGCCTGTAATCCCAGTACTTTGGGAGGCCGGGGCGGGTGGATCACCTGAGGTCAGGAGTTCGAGGCCAGGTTGGCCAACATGGCAAAACCCCCATCTCTACTAAAAATACAAAAAAAAAATATTAGCTGGGCGTGGTGGCAGGCGCCTGTAATCCCACCTACTTACGAGGCTGAGGCAGGAGAATCACTTGAACCCAGGAGGTGGAGGAGTCGAGATCACAGCATTGCACTCCAGCCTAGGCAATGGAGCGAGACTCTGTCTCAAAAAAAAAAAAAAAAAAAAAAAAAAAAAGTACTATGAAAAAAGATAGGGCAGAAATATTGGAAGTATGGAGATGGAGTAGAGTGCTGCAATCGTAAATGGAGTAGATAGGCCTCTCTGAGAAAGTAACCCTACAAGTGTATGAGAACAAACTATCCCAGAGAGAAGGAACAACCAGGCCAAACGCTCTAATTTCCCATGTTTAAGGCACAGTGAAGCCTGTATAGGTGGAGTGGAATGCGCAGAGGAAAGCAGTGGAAGAAGTCAGACTGGTAAAGGAGGCAGATCATAAAGCGCATTGTAGACCACTGTAATCCCCTACCTGTGGAGTGCTTTGTAGAGAGTATGAGATATGGCAGGGTGCAGTAGCTCACACCTGTAATCTCAGCACTTTGGGAGGCCAAGGAAGAGAGGATCACTTGAGCCCAGGAGTTTGAAACCAACCTGGGCACCACTGTGAGACCTCATCTCTACAAATAATTAAAGAATTAGTGGCTGGGTGAGGTGGCTCACATCTGTAACCCCAGCATTTTGGGAGGCTGAGGTGGGCGGATCACTTGAGGTCAAGAGTTCAAGACCAGCCTGGCCAATATGGTGAAACCCCATCTCTACTGAAAATACAAAAATCAGCTGGATGTGATGGCTCATGCCTGTAATCTTCGCTACTAAGGAGGCTGAGGCAGAAGAACTGCTTGGTCCTAGGTGGCAGAGGTTGCAGTGAGTTGAGATCGTGCCACTGCACTACAGCCTGGGCCGTCTCAAAAAAGAACAACAACAACAAAAAAAAGAATTAGTTGGACATGCTGGCACACACCTGTGGTTCCAGCTATGTGGGAGGCTGAGGTGGGAAAGATAGCTGGAGCCCAGGAGATTGAGGCTGTAGTGAGCTATGATTGTGCCACTGCACTCTAGCCTGGGTGACAGAGTGAGAGACTCTATCTCAAAAAAAAAAAAAAGAAAAAGAAAAAAAGGAGAATATGAGATACTAACGAGGAGGCTACTGTGATAATCCAGGTGAGAGATTGTGGTGGCTTCAACAGGATGGTGTTCCAAAGCGGTGAAAAGTGGTCTGATTTTGAATATACTTTGAAGGCAGAGTCATCAGAATTTTCTTACAGATCAGATGTGGGGAGGGAGAGACAGAGAGAGGAGATGGGGCGGGGGAGAGAGGGAGAGACGGGGAGAGAGAAATACAGGAGTCTAAAGTTTGTCTTGAGCAAATGAAAGAATACGCTACTGACGGGGAAGACAATGGTGAGAGAAGCAGGTTTGGAGAGGTCAAGATTTCTGTTTTGTACATGTTAAATTTGAGCTGTCAGATTTTAAATTGGAGTTGCCAAATAGGCAGTTGAATATAAGAATATGGATTTCATGGAAGAGGTCAGGGCTAGACTATAAAGTTAGGAGTAGTCACCCAAGAGATGGTATTTAAACCACGAAACTTGCCAGCACCAGAGAATATTTGAAGAGGTCAGAGGACTGAGGATAAGAGGTTGCAATAGGAGTCAGTCAAGGATACTGAGAAGTGAGGTGGCAGTAAAACAGGAGTGTTGATGTCTTAAAACCCAAGTAAGGATACTGTGGCCAGGAGGCCACTATTCAATTGCGTCAAATATTGCTTTAGATGAGATCTGGAAAACGGATGAAGCATCTCAGAGGTCAACACTCCCTCCCTAGCGAGAAAATATCAAACGTCTTTCATCTCTCTCCCTCTTTGGCTGCTAAACAATGTGTTTTCTGCTCATAACACTTCCCATTCGTTTTTCAGTTCTCAACTTAAAAGGTCCTGCTGCAATCGGAGAAGCTTCTCAAGACCAATGCTATTGTTACCAGGGAAGCGACACTTTATCATAGAAAAATATTATTCTAAGAGTCTACTTAATTGACTCTCTACTGGGCTTGACTGTAAGGTCCTTAAGTCAGACGTGCCTGTGTTGTTTACTTCTGTACCCAAACATTCGATAGAACTCCGAGCATAGTACAAAGCTCGTAGTGGGTATCCCATATATATTTACAAAACCAATGGATAAATGCTAGGGTGGAGCGAGCGATTACTGTTGGCCTAACTTAGGGGATGTGTAGAAGGGAGTGCCTAAAACTAGGAGTGGACGCGGAGGGCTCTGAACAGGGTTCAGTTTCCCATTCCATTACTTTTGCAAGTGTAATACGGACCCTTTGTTGACTCGAAGCAATTCCCCTGCCAGACACTTTTTAGCTGTCCACCCCGCCCCACTACTGGCCACTGTCTTCCTCGGATCTCATCCCAGACACTCACCCAGCCGCGTGGTGCGTTCCCGCGACGCCGCGGGCTTGTCCCCAGTCCCATGCTCGGCCTCGAGCTCCTCCTGTTGCTGCCGTGCTTGCTGCAAAATCCGCCGGCTCAGCCGGGGTCCCACATACTCTTCCTCCGTTTCTCCGGTCCTGCGACCCCGCCGCTTCTCCCGGACCCCTGCCCGCACCGCATTCCCAGCCAGGATCTGATCGGCCAGGGGCGCATGTTTTTCCTGACCCCCGACCCCACGGGCCGCCTTCAACTTGGGCATTTTTCTCGAAAACGTTGCCGCGGAGGTTCGCACGTGGGGACGGCGAAAAAGCCAGATTGCGCTTGCGCGGTGGACTCCCGGCTCTCAAGAGGCCACGCGGCGATCACAGCGCCCCCTAGCATTCGGAGGCCAGAAGCACCATCAGCGCCGCCCCTCCCACTAAAAGAGCTCCCGGGTTCCGGAGCTGGACTCCCCAATATATTCACAGCCTTTAACGTTAGCTTCTCTCAACAGTGCAGTCTTTGAGTGTCGCTCTTAGCTTCATGGGTCTAGGCCTAGAGTGCTCAGCCAAACGAGAATGTCTGGATTTAGAAACCTGTGGGCGGGAATCCGCAGATGATGTCACTGGAGGTGTCACCGAGTGGCCCTGAGACCCGCCCCACTCCTTGGGGAAGGCGTGGACCCGGCGCTCTGTTTTTACGTATTTCCGGAGTCTCTTCCGAGACCGAAGGTTGTGTTGGGGAACTGAAGCAGTTTCTGTGGGCGGATAGGGAACCCTGCGTTTCTACCGTGTGATCCGGCCGCCTTCCTGGCCCGACGCCATGGGAGTGACTTGGTAGGACTGCAGGGGGTTTTGTGGGGCGGAGCTTGGAGTTGTGAAGGGCCGAAAAGAGGACCTTGACCGTGGTCCGCCGTCCCCTGGGAGCTGTCCTCGGGTTGTGTGGATGAGAGGATGCCGTGCGAGCCGCGGGTTCCCCGGCCTTGTTTCCTCGGAGATGCGCCCCTTCCTCTTGGAAGGCGGGAAAGCAAAGCGAAGTTTTTTTTTTTTTTTTTTTTCTTTAAGACGGAGTCTCGCTCTGTCGCCAGGCTGGAGTGCAGTGGTGCGATCTTGGCTCACTGCACCCTCCGCCTCTTGGGTTCAAGCGATTCTCCTGCCTCAGCCTTCCGAGTAGCTGGGACTACAGGCGCCCACCACCACGCCCGGCTATTTTTTGTATTTTTAGTAGAAATGGGATTTCACCATATTGGCCAGGCTGGTGTCGACAAAGCAAAGTATGTTTTTGTTTTTTTTTTTGTTTGTTTGTTTGTTTTTGAGACGGAGTCTCGCTCTGTCACCCAGGCTGGAGTGCAGTGGCCGGATCTCAGCTCACTGCAAGCTCCGCCTCCCGGGTTCACGCCATTCTCTTGCCTCAGCCTCCCGAGTAGCTGGGACTACAGGCGCCTGCCACCTCGCCCGGGTAAGTTTTTTGTATTTTTAGTAGAGACGGGGTTTCACTGTGTTAGCCAGGATGGTCTCGATCTCCTGACCTCGTGATCCGCCCGTCTCGGCCTCCCAAAGTGCTGGGATTACAGGCTTGAGCCACCGCGCCCGGCCGACAAAGCAAAGTTTTTATCCCAGGAACCTATCAATGGTTGTGTACCTCATTCCCTTCTAGATTCATTTTCCTTCCCGTGAGGCCATAGTACTGCCCGCAATGGGACGTCAGGGTTGGAAATAGGGTCTTTGGACTGTGACCCACCTGCAGACAGGGTTAGAGGGAGTGGGTTATAAGCAATCAGGAAACAGTATTTTTAAAGATTTTCTTTATTTTTCTTTATTTCTTTTTCTTTCTTTTTTTTTTTTTTGAGACGGAGTTTCGCTCTTGTTGCCCAGACTGGAGTGCAATGGCGCGATCTCGGCTCACAGCAACCTCCGCCTCGCGGGTTCAAGCCATTCTCCTTCCTCAGACTCCGGAGTAGCTGGGATTACAGGCATGCGCCACCACGCCCGGCTAATTTTGTATTTTTGGTAGAGACGGGGTTTCTCCATGTTGGTCAGGCTGGTCTCGAACTCCAGACCTCAGGTGATCCGCCCGCCTCGGCCTCCCAAAGTGCTGGGATTACAGACGTGAGCCACCGCGACCGGCCAAGATTTTTGCCTACCCTTCCCTCAGCCATCAAATGCAGTTAGACCAGCTTGTGTCTGTTTCTAATTTGCCCATTTTAAGATCTTGGGTCCAGAGGGAAAAAGAGGCTATTGAAAATAAGGAGATCAGGGTTCCAGGCACTTTATCTCTTTAGGACCCGTTTCCCACTATGTTTAATTCCATGGTTAGTCTAGTTTCAGAGGAGTTTTTATCTTTCATAGGTTTTAAGTCTCCGTTGGAAGAAGATGAGGTAGCAGGGAAAGGTATGGGTCCAGTGCTTGTGGAGGCGTTAGTTGTAAGGTGCCAGGTCCCAGAACATTTTTTTCTTATCTCAGTAGATGTGAGCATTTTTCCCCGTGGGAGAAACCCAGAGGCCAGGATATCTGAAGCCAGTGGCTATAGGCTTCTCATACAAAAGCATGTGTAGGGGAAATACTTTTCCTCCTGGTAGCCCAGGTTCTTGCAGGTTTCTCAGTGATTGCACTCTTGTTTCCCACAGTTCACATCATGATCCTCCTGTGTTCCTTAATGGAAGCAAGATATGTGAGGGATGGAAATAGAAAGGATGCAGCGTAGAACCCTGGAACCCCATGCTCTTTCTTTTTTTTTTAAAGAAATAGAAATGGGTTCTTGCTGTTTTGTACATCCAGGTCTTGAATTCCTGAACTCAAGCGAGCCTCCTGCTTTGGTGTCCCAAAGTATTGGCATTACAGACACGAGCCACCGTGCCCAGCCACCCCTGCTTTTTAAATGGAGAAGGCAGCTCCAGGGCAAGGGCTCTCTGTTGGCACCCTTATCAACGTTTTCAGAATCCTAGGACTTCTGTCCCTTGTAGCGTCAGTTTAGGGATTCTTTTATATTTCAAAATAAGGCACATTAGCAACATTGTTTATCAGTGCTTTTTCTGATAGAGTAATGACAATTTTTAGCAACAGAAGGACTCTACCCTAATAGATTCATTTAGTTGATCATAAAGCAATGTCATCTATGACTGTTTTCTTGATTTCTATATAGCTAAGTACTGCCTGTACTATTGTTTATTAATTTTTTAAATTGATCTTTTCCTTAAAAATGTTTTAACAGGCACTACATCCCTATACAGGCAGTCTAGTTAGTGGTTAGGAGCATGGACATGAAACCAGGTTGCTGGGCTTTGAGTCTTGGGTGTACCACGCATTAACTGTGTGACCTAGTGCAAGTTATTTAACCTCTTTGTACTGTACTTAAATTTCCTCTTTTTTTTTTCTTTTTGAGATGGAGTTTCGCTCTTGTTGTCCAGACTGGAAGGCAGTGGTGCGATCTTGGCTCACTGCAACCTCCGCCTCCTGGTTTCAAGCAATTCTCCTGCCTCAGCCTCCCATGTAGCTGGGATTACAGGCACACACCACCACGCCTGGCTGAGTTTTGTATTTTTGGTAGAGACAGAGTTTCACCATGTTGGCTAGGCTAGTCTTGAACTTCTGACCTCAAGTGATCCTCCCACCTCGGCCTTCCAAAGTGCTGGGATTACAGGTGTGAGCCACAGTGCCCGGCAGTTTCCTTATTTGTAACAAGTTGATAAATAACATCTTCATAGGACTATTGTGAGGATTTGGAGAGTTAATTCATCTAAAGGCCTTAGGACGCAGACTGGCACGTTGTTGGTTGGCAATTGTTACCTACCACTCTAAAGGGGAAGCCACCATATGAGGTTCACTCACCATAGGAGGAAACCTTGGAAATGTTTTTTTTGTTTTGTTTTGTTCCATTGTTTTGATTCAATTTTTGTGAATACTGTTGCCTCTCATTCCCGAAGATTATAAACTTGAAGGCTGCTTTTTTTCTGTTCCTAGGGCTGTTGACTAGAACTTTCTGTGATGATGGAAATGTTCTCTAACAGCAGTGTCCAATACACTAGCCCCAGCCACCTGTGGCTCTGGGCTACTGTGCTGAACAGCTCCACAGAGTTGGTAAAAACGTGTTAACCCAAACTGAGACTTTGTCCTTGATGTAGTCAGAACTGAAAGAGTTGCAAAAGGAATCCCTTTTTCATTATATAACTCAGCATTATTGAATGCTCAGCCTGTGTGCCATCTAGAATCTTCGGCATGCCACACTTGAGAATGTCCCATGATAGGAAGTTCATTGCTCTGGTGTGAGAATCCTGAGAACTATGCTTCAGTTCTTAGAGGGGCTCTCAGGGACAGTGGTCCTCTATTCTTGTCTTTAAAATGGGGGACTGGTCCAAGTGTAATGAGTTATCTTAATTGATTGTTCACATTCGGTTACAGATTGGACTCCTTGTTCTACTCTTCCCCATTCTAACTACTGCACTTGACTGGTCTTAACTTTTTTTTTTTTTTAAGATCGAGTCTCGCCCTGTTGCCCACACTGGAATACAATGGTGCAATCTCGGCTTACTGCGAGCTCTGCCTCCCAGGTTCAAATGATTCTCCTGCCTCAGCCTCACAAGTAGCTGGGATTACAGGCGCCCGCTACCACGCCCAGCTAAATAATTTTTGTATTTTTAATAGAGACAGGGTTTCACCATGTTGGCCATTCTTGTCTTGAACTCCTGACCTCGTGATCCGCCCACTTTGACCTCCCAAAGTGCTGGGATTGCAGGCATGAGCCACCATGCCTGGCCAAAAAAAAATTTTTTTTAAATTTATAATAAAGTTGCAGGGGTTGGGAGACGGTCAGAGTAGGTAATTTCCAAGATAACTTTTGGCCCTGACGAGCTGTGATGCTGTGGGCGAGTGAGTGGCTCAGTGAGCACATGTGTGTCTCTGGATAACTGACAATTTGGTGCTCTCCTTTCCAGTGTGTCCCAGATGCCTGTGGCTGAGGGCAAGAGTGTTCAGCAAACCGTAGAGCTCCTTACCCGGAAATTGGAGATGCTTGGGGCAGAGAAGCAAGGAACATTTTGTGTGGACTGTGAGACTTACCATACGGCTGCATCTACCCTTGGCAGCCAAGGTCAGTGACATGGGTCTGTAGGATGGCTGGAACGAGGGTTGGAGTTAATAGACATTTGTATTAATTGAAGTATTTCTGCTTTTCTGCTAAGGGTGGTGTTCTTTTTTTTTTTGAGACGGAGTCTCGCTCTGTCGCCCAGCCCAGGCTGGAGTGCAGTGGCGCGATCTCGGCTCACTGCAAGCTCCGCCTCCCGGGTTCACGCCATTCTCCTGCCTCAGCCTCCCGAGTAGCTGGGACTACAGGCGCCCACAACCGCGCCCGGCTAATTTTTTGTAATTTTTAGTAGAGACGGGGTTTCACCGTGGTCTCGATCTCCTGACCTTGTGATCCGCCCGCCTCGGCCTCCCAAAGTGCTGGGATTACAGGCGTGAGCCACCGCGCCCGGCTAGGGTGGTGTTCTTAAACATGTGGCGAGATGTGTTTCTGAATTCATTAATTATTGGTTCTTTATTTCTTAGAATAGGGCCTTTGAAAGCTTTATTTTATTTTATTTTATTTTATTTTATTTTATTTTATTTTGTTGAGA